GGTTTGGTTGGTTAAGGCAAGGGCTCGGTCGGACGAGGGTGGCTGCAGGTTGTGCATGGCCTTGCAGTTACGTTGGTTTAACTCGGACGAGGAGGGTGTTGGCTAATCGATTAAAGGCATGGTTGGACTTAGGCGTATTCGAGCACGCAAGTGTTCGAAGTGATGCAGCTCGATGGGCGCGTGCGAGGGAGGCGCCGCGTCTAAGCCGTTGGCGGGAACGGTTGGATTTTGAAAAGGCAGTTGGGTTGCACGTGGACTAGGCGGTTACTATGACCCACGTGGCCTAAGGCGGATCTTTCCTTCGAGCAGTTGTATGGCCGAGTGGGAACAAGGAAAGCAAGACACGTGGCTGGGCGGTTTCCAGGGACACGTGGCCTTGACGGTTTTCTAACCTGCGAGGAAGTTGGACACGGATAAAGCACGACGGTTGGCGCCCGTTGTTGCATGAGGCTGAGTTGGCATTCGATTAATGCGTGCACGTGCCAAGGGGCGGTTGCGGATAACTGCCAGACGGTTACCAAGCGGTTGGAACTGCTGGGTCTGAGGGTTATAAATAGCCCGAGGCAAACATATGCGCGGGAAGAGAGACACACGAGCAAAACACGAATGTGAAAGGCAAACAGACGAGTGAACAAGTGTTGTGAGCGAAATCTGTGTACTGTTTACTTGTAGATGCTTGAGTTGGCATACGCTAAGTGTAATAGCAAGCTAGTGTAGGCCAAAATTCTATAAGGCTGGTACTTGTATTCACGTACGGGTGTGCCTGCGTGCACAAAGGTGTTGGTGTGTACCGTGTATGTAAGCTGTAAGATCATTCCATTGTACTTGTGATATATAAAAGTACTTGGTTGGGCGAGAGCCCGTAATTGTGCGTGTCACTTATTTACTTGATAGCTTCCGCATTGCGTATGTTAGTGACGTGCTTGCATAACCTCGATTGATAATTGTGTGGGCGAGCGAACGATCGAGGACGGTGAAAGGCTGACTGGTTCGTGGGGAATCAGGCCGCATAGGGTGCTAAGGAGCGAAAAATTCTAGCTCGAAAGAAGGCCCTGTGACAAGTGGTATCAGAGCCCATCTCTTGGGTTCTGACTGCTGTACGTGTTGGAAAAATGGGCGATTCAAATCGACCCACTGATCAACTCTTGATGACCTTTGATGCGAGAATACAAAGGCTGGAAGACATGATGGGGCAACCGCCTCAAACACCTCTGTTAGCTGCGGTCTTCGAGCGCTTACAAACAACTGATGATGCGCTCGCTGACTTAAGCAAGAAGGTGGACGCTATGGTGAACTCGGTGGAGTCGCTGCCTGAATTCGTTGAAGGGCGGATGGATTCCACGCGGGATGAGTTCATGTTGCTGTCGGAAGCGGTTGAGTCCAAGGTCAAGAAGATCATGGACGACGTGGCCCTACTGAAGAGGGTGGGCGCAAGTGTGCTTGAGGAGCAGCGCCAATTCCCATCGAAAGTCCGAATTCCAGATCCTAAGACGTTTGATGGTACCCGAGATGCCAAGGAAGTTGAGAATTTCCTTTGGGACATGGAGGCGTATTTCCATGCAGCCAGAGTCCAGGACGATGAGAAAGTGTCGATAGCGAGCATGTTCTTGTCGGGGGACGCAAAACTCTGGTGGCGTGCGCGAGCGTCTGATGACGTCAGTGCACATTGGGACGAGATCAAAACGTGGGATGTCATGAAGCGGGAGTTGCGGGATCAGTTCTTGCCTTGCAACACAGATTGGGTTGCGAGGGAAGCTTTAAGAAACCTGAAGCAAGAAGGTACGGTTCGTGAATATGTCAAGGTGTTTAGCTCCTTGATGCTCGACATAAGCGAGATTCAACTTTATGGCGGGATTACAAGGTTGGGCCCAAGCCGAGTTGCAGCGGAAAAGGGTTAGTGATCTGCCTACGACAATGGCTGCTGCCGAGCGCCTTGTAGACTTCAAGGTGATTGGTGCCTCTGACTCGAGTGAACATGTGAAAGACTCGACGAAGAAGGATGGGAAGTCAAAAAAGTTCAAAGGTGGAAAGCACCGAGAGAAGTCCGGCGAGGGGAGTAGTGGTACGCCCCGTGATACGTCCAAGCCAACGACGGTGGACCGTAGTCGTGGCTGTTTCTTGTGTGATGGCGACCACTTGATGAAGGATTGTCCCAGGCGATTGAAGGCCAAAGCCAACGCCTTAGTGGTGAAAGGCGATGCATGCGACGAGGAAGGCACGGTGGGCCTGAACTCGTTGGTGCTACTGAACAACGTAAGTGTCCAAGATGAATCGTGTTCGGGTTTAATGTTCTTGAAGGTGGCTGTGAAGGATATTCAAATCATGGCAATGGTGGATTCGGGGGCATCCCATTCCTTCATGAACGAGACGATGGCCTCATGGCTAGGCCTTAAAATTGAGCCAAGTGACGGGTTGAGGATGAAATCTGCTACGCGCACAACACCAATCAAGGGGGTGGCTGAAGTAAACATGGTCATTGGGCCGTGGAAAGGTACGTGCAAGGTGCATGTGTTGCCTCTTGATGACTTTGAATTAATTCTGGGCATGGATTATCTCAAGGAAGCCAAGGCTTACGTGATGCCACACTTGAGCAAGATGGTGTATGTGTTGGATGGAAAGGAAGTGTTCCATGATATTCAGTGGGCGTTGCCGAAAAAGAAAAATGCTTTGCAGGTTTCGACTATGCGAGTCGAGCAAGACCTGGGGCAAGCTGAAGTTCTTTACCTTGCTGCAGCAACTAAAAGCTATTCGGATGGGCCGGGTACTTGCTGTAGTGAATCTGATCGTGATACGCTTGGGGGCAAAGGTGTACTAACAAGACGGGTTCATAAAATTTTGGACCGAAAGACCCGAGGACGAGGAAGTAAAAGACGGACTTTTTACTTGGTCCACTGGAAAGGTGAGCCGAGGGCTAAGGCAACCTGGGTTCGAAACGTTGAGTTGGTCCCATTCACGAGGCAGATTGCAAGGTTCGAGGCATGCTGTCAGATTTTTCCCACGTCGACGAGGGCGTCGACGAAGTTAAGTGGGGGAGGTCTGTTACGGGTCTAACGTTGGGGCCCGGGACTTGGCACGATCCCTTAGAGTGTCAAGGTCCTAAGGACTCGAGCACAAACGTGCGCGAGGTCGGCTAAGGGAAGGATGCGAGCTGGGCGTGTCCTTGTGGCTGAAAGTCGGGTTCAGTCGAGTCTTCAAGGGGCGACGAAGACATATGTGCACTACTTAGCTAAAAATGTCCAAGTGTTGGTCGGATCATGTTGCATTGGGTCGAGACCTTGGGTGGGGGTCGAGACGTGCATCGGTTTGGTTGGTTAAGGCAAGGGCTCGGTCGGACGAGGGTGGCTGCAGGTTGTGCATGGCCTTGCAGTTACGTTGGTTTAACTCGGACGAGGAGGGTGTTGGCTAATCGATCAAAGGCATGGTTGGACTTAGGCGTATTCGAGCACGCGAGTGTTCGAAGTGATGCAGCTCGATGGGCGCGTGCGAGGGAGGCGCCGCGTCTAAGCCGTTGGCGGGAACGGTTGGATTTTGAAAAGGCAGTTGGGTTGCACGTGGACTAGGCGGTTACTATGACCCACGTGGCCTAAGGCGGATCTTTCCTTCGAGCAGTTGCATGGCCGAGTGGAAACAAGGAAAGCAAGACACGTGGTTGGGCGGTTTCCAGGGACACGTGGCCTTGACGGTTTTCTAACCTACGAGGAAGTTGGACACGGATAAAGCACGACGGTTGGCGCCCGTTGTTGCACGAGGCTGAGTTGGCATTCGATTAATGCGTGCACGTGCCAAGGGGCGGTTGCGGATAACTGTCAGACGGTTACCAAGCGGTTGGAACTGCTGGGTCTGAGGGTTATAAATAGCCCGAGGCAAACATATGCGCGGGAAGAGAGACACACGAGCGAAACACGAATGTGCAAGGCAAACAGACGAGTGAACAAGTGTTGTGAGCGAAATCTGTGTACTGTTTACTTGTAGATGCTTGAGTTGGCATACGCTAAGTGTAATAGCAAGCTAGTGTAGGCCAAAATTCTGTAAGGCTGGTACTTGTATTCACGTACGGGTGTGCCTGCGTGCACAAAGGTGTTGGTGTGTACCGTATATGTAAGCTGTAAGATCATTCCATTGTACTTGTGATATATAAAAGTACTTGGTTGGGCGAGAGCCCGTAATTGTGCGTGTCACTTATTTACTTGATAGCTTCCGCATTGCGTATGTTAGTGACGTGCTTGCATAACCTCGATTGATACTTGTGTGGGCGAGCGAACGATCGAGGACGGTGAAAGGCTGACTGGTTCGTGGGGAATCAGGCCGCATAGGGTGCTAAGGAGCGAAAAATTCTAGCTCGA